TGTAGCTCAAGTGGTAGAGCTCTAGCCTTGGGCAAAAGAAGCTTAGGGACAGTGCCCAGGACCTGAGTTCAAGCACCAGGACTGGCAAAAAAAAAAAAAAAAGGATGAGTTACATCACTGAATACTGCATATTTTACAGTAACATTTTCAAAACGTTAAGGCTTTCATATATTGTCAGAGAAATTCACATACAGTATTCACCCAAAATCCACTTCAAATATATGTAACATAAAAACAAACATGTATTTCAAAGTCTACCATTTAGTGACAATTTCAGAAGTGAGGATTATGATGTTTTACTTGTAAAAAAAATTACACATACAAATCATGTTCAAATAGCAGTCTAAATTGATTGGCAGCACTTTCACACAAAGGCAGTACCAGTAGCACTAATCCTCCACATTGTCTATTTGGGCAGTAGGCCTTAAGATGTTGTTGAGATAACTGGCTTCCATTAGCAAGTATGTGATTGGCAGGATGATAAAGTCTTTTCACTCACAAGTCAGCTATTTCCTTTTCTTGAGAGGAGAGCAATCCTGATGATCTATCTTTTAGCTACAGTCCCTTACTGAGTCCCAATTCTCTTGCCTTCAGCTTTGATATGGTTCTAACTTTCCTCTTGTATCAGCTCATACTTGTCATCAACTCCTCTATTCAGAACAGCAAATATCAGGAGTTTGACCTCAGGGCAAAGTCCGGGTGGGCAGGTAAAATTGGACCACTGGACCTACTTCCTAATCTTTCATACCCAGCAATTCATGAAGCAGTATCAAATTCAAACTAAAAAACAAAAGCATGACCTCTCATAAGCTCTATGAAAAGAGCTCTTTTGCCTTTCTAAGTATACTTGAAAAGAACTGTCAGCCATCCTATTAAGACAGAAATGGATCACAGACTAGGAAAAAAAGAAAAAGGAAAAGTGCAGAAACGCAAATAAAATGTAAATAAAGGCATTAGCACCCCTTTATATGTGATAACATACCACTTCATATAAGTATCATACCACTTCATATAAGTATGAAAATACTTTGCTATGAACTATCTTAAGAAGTCATAAACAAAAGCACTATCAAAACTTTAAGACATCCTTATTTAAATAATCACGAAGATCTGATTCAAAAACTTTTATCACCTTATGTGAGACTTCTGTTTTCAACACTACTATTTTTTAAACCAATTCTTATATTTGGAATTTCATCACTTAAGTGTGTGTAACTTAATTTTTAAGCAAACCTAAGTGAAAAATAAGTAGCCTTTTTAGTTTATTAATTAAATCTAAGCTACTGAAGTCATAAAATTTAAGTTATTTCCACAGTGTTCTAGCATTAAATACAAGAATTAATTATATTTTCCTATTTTAGAATATAAAAGAACAAAAATACAGTATCATTAAATTTTAACATTTATAACCAGAGAGCATTGTTTTAATCGTCTTTAAAGACTATAAAAATTAACATGTAATTAATCAGCTCATCAAAAATTTCTTTTTTTTGGGGGGGGGTTCAGTTGTGGGCCTGAACTCCGGGCCTGGGCACTGTCCCTCAGCTCTTCAGCTCAAGGCTAGCACTCTACCACTTGAGTCACAGCGCCACTTCCAGCTTTTTTTTTTCTGCTTAGGTGGTGCTGAGGATCGAACCCAGGGCCTCATGTATGCAAGGCAAGCATTCTAGCACTGAGCCACCTTCCCAAAAATTTCTAGCCACTCAGTTCTTGCACCTTCCCAAAAATTTCTAGCCACTCAGTTCTTGCACTGTAGTACTATACTCAAAAATTGTATTTAATATTTATATAACTATCCATATATTTTATTTTATAAAAAAATTATAAAAAGATTTTTTGGGGGGTCCGGTTGTGGGGCCTGAACTCTGGGCCTGGGCGCTGTCCCTCAGTTCTTCAGCTCAAGGCTAGCGCTCTACTGCTTAAGTCACAGCGCCACTTCGGGCTTTTTTTTTTTCTTATGTGGTGCTGAGGAATGGAACCCAGGGCCTCAGGCATGCAAGGTAAGCGCTCTACCACTGAGCTATCTTCCCAGCCCCTATAAAAAGATTCTTACTTGCTGGACGCTGGTAGTTCATGCCTGTAATCCTAGCTACTCAGGAGGCCTGAGATCTGAGGATCATGGTTCGAAGGCAGCCCCAGCAGAAAAGTCCCTGTGAGACTTTTATCTACAATAAACTACTCAAAAGAGCCAGAGGTGGTACTGTGGCACAAGTGGTACAGTGTTAGCCTTAAGCACAAAGCAGCTCAGGGACAGCAAGCAGGCCCTGAGTTCAAGCCCTAAGACAGGTATTTAAATAAAAAAAAGATTTTTTACTTAAAAGTCCCTTAAACTATACTGTTAAAGTTGCTCAGGATTTTATGGCTTCTAAGTGCTCCCATCTGATATGTAAATTCAACCAAAATGACTAGAAATATTATCAATATTTATAAATATACCTTAGTGGTAATTTCCTAGGGAGCTAAACACTTATAAAGAGCTGTCAAATTATGATTATCTTTTAATCATGGATTAAGAGTTTAGTTGGTTTTGAATCAGCTATCTGGTCAAATCATTGAGTAGAATCTTTTTTGTGAAGTGCTAGGGATTAAACCCGTGGCCTCCTGCATGCTAATCAAATGTTCTACCACTGCACTATTCCCCAAGCCCCTAAGAACAGAATCTGTACAATTTCTTAAGCAATGTGGTTTTTTCATAGTCCTACACAGTTGTTAATACAAAAACTAGTTAATGTCAGTGAAATTCGCATGAGATAGAAAAATATCACAGGGTAACTTCCAAATTTTCTATGAGCAGATTATTCACATATAATGGCAAATATCAAGTTATCTCTTAAATTTGTCCTTACAACATAAAACCTTACCCAGTAAATGACCATAGTTTACTTGGAAATGAATATACAAGGAAATCTATTTCCAACTTGCTAAAGAATTCAAGTTGTCGGGGGCTGGGAAGGTGGCTCAGTGGTAGAGCACTTGCCTTGCATGCTCGAGGCCCTGGGTTCGATTCCTTAGCATCACATAAACAAAAAGAAAAAAGCCGGAAGTGGCGCTGTGGCTCAAGTGGTAGAGCCTTGAGCTGAAGAGTTGAAGGACAGCACCCAGACCCAGAGTTCAGGCCCCACGACCAGACCCCCCCCCAAAAAAAAAGAATTCAAGTTGTCTATATTTGATCATCTTATTCAGGCAAACAGGTCTGCCCAACAGAGAGAACATCCAAACTAAATGGATACTACCAAAAAGAAGACCCTCATTTCATCTGATAGAATGGAATGGTGTCTGTTTTCTACTGCCTTCTTCAACTTAACAAGGCTTCTCATCCACAGATCTAGTCATCCAGGAGAGTGTTTTGTTTGACACAGTATCAGAGCATTGACTTCAGTCAGAAGTAAGTGTGTTCAGTGCTTTATTGACATAATTTGGTGACAGAAATGGACTTTTCCTTTTAAATCTGGCTTAAGATAAATCACTTATTTCTATATACATATTGTCTTGTAAGGATTCCCAGCCAGTCCATGGGTGTTTTATTTCTCTAAAGAATTTTTATATACCATAAGGATGAAAAATTATTTTTCTTCATTATATTTGTATCTATTTTAACCATGTCTCCTCTTCAAATAATGAAAAACAGTAGATACTCATCAGTATTGTCTAGGAATTAGAGCAAAAGTAGCCTAGTCCCAAACATTTACTGAATTCATTTACTGAATTCTGATTTGAGTAACAGAGTCTGCTTCCATCAATGGTGGGGTCTCATTTCTCATTTTCATCTCCATAAGAGAATGGGCACCATTAATAGACTGATACCATGTGGTTTCATTTTAATTCAGTTTCAATATGGCTCTTCTAGCCAAGAGCAGTAGACACTCCAATTTGTCAATCAAGTACTCCTCAACTTTCTAAATAAGATCAACCCTGTCTCTAAATCTATGTGTAGCTTTATTAAGCTCTTTAATCTATTTGCATGTATGACCAGAAAATTATTAAAAAATAACAAGCCTCAAGCTACAGTAAACCAAAGCACAAAGTAACTTAGTAAATATTCACTGTGAGAAGGTTGTAAAAAGTTGAGATACTCGGGGCTGGGAAGGTGGCTCAGTGGTAGAGCGCTTGCCTTGCATGCCTGAGGCCCTGGGTTCAATTCCCCAGCACCACATAAGCAAAAAGAAAAAAGCCGGAAGTGGCACTGTGGCTCAAGTGGTAGAGCGCTAGCCTTGAGCTGAAGAGCTGAGGGACAGCGCCCAGGCCCAGAGTTCAGGCCCCACAACCAGACCCCCCCCCAAAAAAAAAAGTTGAGATACTCAGCCAGGCATTGGTGGCACACACCTGTAATCCTAGCTACTTAGGAGGCTGAGATTTGAAGATCACAATTCAAAGCCAGCCCAAGCAGGAAAATCTGTGAGACCCTTATCTCCAATTAACTACCAGGAAACAAGAAGTGGCGCTATAGCTCACGTGGTAGAGCACTTGCCTTGAGCTGAAGAGTTCAAGGACAGCACCGAGGCCCAGAGTTCAAGCCCCACAACTGACAGAAGAAAAAAAAAAAGTTGAGAAACTCAATGAACATAGATTCAGAGAGAAGTGGTAAATACAAAGCTATCAAGAAGGCATTTTCAATCTCAGTTATCTGAAGACAGGAAACAGGAGACAGAAGACAGAAGAATTAAAATTCAAGGCCAGCCTGACCAATGTCAGCAAAACTCTACCTAAAAAACAAAAGCTGGGTGTCCTGGCATATACTTATGGTCCCAGCAACTTGGGAGCCAAGGTAGAAAGAGAGAGAGCAGAGTCTGGAGTTGGTCTGGGAAAAAGCATAAGACCCTATCTGAAAAATGACTGTAGGCACTCTCCAGGTCCTTACCTAGTGATCCAAGGCCTTGTTGTAAAAAGAAAGCATTTTTGTAAAGATAGGTTGTTTTTAATGAAAAACAAAGCATCCCCATAGCATTAAAAATAAATATTTTAAAACGCAAGAAAAGCCAGAGTATATTATTACATCTTACTTGTCTGAGGTCAATGAATGCTAGCTGTAGGGTATCCCCTTGGAATCCTGGCACAGGCTCAGAACTGGCAAACACTATTAAAAAATTAATAACAGTGAATTAGAATAACATTGCAAAATATGTAAGATTTAACTACTAAATCTTTACTCATTAGAAATAGAATATTACACACAACCTTTTCAAATGAGAACTATTCATATCCTTCCATTTCTACTACTAAAAATATTCTCCATACCCATTATCACAAATATTTTAAACTTCTGATCTGCCACTTAATCACTATAATCTTTAATTACAATAAATTTAAAATGGCTATCCTATATAAAGTTCAAGAATAGTAACACACTTCAATCAAAGATTTCTGACTTAGCATTAGGTAAATGACTATAGAAGCATTTTGAAACTATACCAATTCCATAGCTGTCAATCTATTCTCTAGCTAATGAAAATAAAAGGTAGACACCAAGGCTAACAATCAGCACCACATATAAACAACAGGTAAAATATTCTAAGTAGCAGTATCATGATAATTCAAGAATGTTCATGTTTTAAATTACATTTTTATAAAAAAAATCCCATTTCTTTAAAACAATAGCCAAGGATATCTTAAGGCAAAATGAAAAAATTCAAAAGATTAGTTGGATGCAATGGCTCACACCTATCATCTTAAGTACTTGGGAAGCTGACATGGGGAGGATTACAGTTTGAGGTCAGTCTGGCAAAAAGTATGCAAGATTCTATGAACTAATAAAAAGCTGAGCATAGTGGTGTATGCTTGTCATTCCACTATGTGAGAAGTATATGTAAGTGATCACAGCCTAAGCTGGCTGAGGCAAAAAGTGAAAACCTACTGAAAAAATATCAAAAGCAAAAATGGATGGAATACAGCCCAAATAGTACACCTGTCAAGCAAGGGTAAGGCCTGGAGTTCAAATAGTACTTCAAAAAACATTTTTTTAATCAAGAGATTTTTTTAAATACTACTAATATAGATTGTTTAAACTAAAGACAATTCCAACAATATTAGCTATTCTGAAGATAAAAGACTTTCAGCTCAAAGAAAACTCCACTAATTTTTTTTTTTTTTTGCCAGTCCTGGGCTTGAACTCTGGGCCTGAGCACTGTCCCTCAGCTCTTCAGCTCAAGGTGATCACTCTACCACTTGAGCCATAGCACCACTTCCGGTTTTCTGGTGGTTAATTGGCGATAAGACTTTCATAGACTTTCCTGCCTGGGCTGGCTTTAAACCATGATCCTCAGATCTCAGACTCCTTAGTAGCTAGGATTACAGGTATTAGCCACCAGCACCAGGCTTGTACCTGAACTTTTGTGCTCAAGGCTAGTGCTATACCGCCTTGAGCCATAGCACTGGCTTTTTTGGTAGTTAACTGGGGATAAGAGTCATATGGCTTTGAACCATGATTCTCAAATCTCAGCCTCCTGAGTAGTTAGGATTTCAAGTGTGAGCCACCGATACCTTGCCTATGCATCGTCCTTTAATTTTCTTAAAATTTCTATTGTTAAAGTCAGGTGGTGAGTATACTACATTTTGATCAATGTCATTCTCTTCCCATACCTACCCTCAAGTAAGTAGCTCAATTTTTACATAATGTACATTGAATACAATTGCATTTGCTAACTCTTCCTCCCTCTATTCATGCTTCCTTATTTTAGAACAGGGCAGGTAGATGATGGATCATAAAAATATTGTAAGTAAAAGAGACAGTCCCTTTGAAATACCACCAATAGACTTCCAAGGACTTAGTTTAGAAGTCACCTACTTCTTAATTTTATAGGGTAGAAGAATTAAGGAGAAGAGATTTCATGGAAACACAGTTAATTCAGGCTTCCTGGCATTCAAGCCACTGATCCAGAATCTGATTAAGTATTCAGCTTCTGTTTATCTTCTCACACAAATTTAACCAATATAGAAGAAATTCACTAGTTTATAACTGTCGGTTCTTTTTCTCAAATATAGTTTAGGGATAGGAAATAGTTTAACAATCCAATGATTACCTGGCAAAGAAAACATCAGTAATCGTAAGCTATTCAACTTGACCAGTAGCTTCATATTTTTTTCTTTTACTTCTTTAAAATCAAATGTAATTAATCTTACTGTTTCTCCCTTTTAACATATCTTTTTCACTGCCAAGGTTTAATCTCAGGGCCTTGCACTTGCTCAGCTTGCTTGCTTGCTTATCTGGCACTGTACCATTCCAGTCACATCTCCAGCCAGCTTTTTGCTAGTTATTTTGGAGGAGTCATTCAGAGTTTTCTCTCTGGCTGACTTTGACCCATGCTCCTCCAGATCTCCTCTGAGTACCTGAACTATAGGTGTGAGTTACTAGCACCAAGCCCTAAAATAGCTCTTGAGTCCTAATCTATCTCTACTTAAGTTCAAAATATCATAATTTCTTACATACCTCCATTTTGGGACTTCAAAATTTAACATCCTTTAATAATTCACCATCATTTCCATAATCAAACAAGACTAAGGGCAAGGTCTTTACATCTGCCTCTGCCTATCTCTGTAACCTCATCTCTAATCACTTTCCTAGAGCTACCTAGACTCTTTCCATACCAGACTGCCTGCCCTTCTTTGCAAATACAAAGTGCCTTCCCATAATGCCTTTGATCTCCTAGCTATAACATCTTCCTCTTCTCTTTTCGTTCTGAATAACTGATACTTATCCTTCAATCATTACTTTCTTTTTTTTTTTTGGGTCCGGTCATGGGGCCTGAACTCTGGGCCTGGGCGCTGTCCCTCAGCTCTTCAGCTCAAGGCTAGCGCTCTACCACTTGAGCCACAGCGCCACTTCCAGCTTTTTTCTGTTTGCTTATGTGGTGCTGAGGAATCGAACCCAGGGTCTTGAGCATGCAAGGCAAGCGCTCTACCACTGAGCCACCTTCCCAGCCCTCAATCATTACTTTCTATGAGAAGACTTCTATTACCTCTATAGGTTAGGCTAGATCTTTCCCTGCAATTCATATCAACCTGTGAAGAGTCTGATTATAGCACTTATTTTGTGGCCTTAACCTATCTGGGTCTTTACACAAGAATATAAAATACCTGAAGGTATAGACTATAATGTCTAATCCCTATCATCTAAATAATAAATTCTGTGAAACTTTATTAGGTGAGTAAAGGAAAAGTGAATAAGTGGTAAAAAAAAATTCTGAGGGGGGTTATATTATCATCCTGTCTTGATAATGAATATATAATCTAGCTTGCTGATTAGATCTAGAATGACACCATCCAACAGAACTTTCTAAAATAATGGAAATACTTTGTACTAAGCAGAACCGAATTATAGTGTTATTTAAAATCAGTGCAATTTTAAATAAGTTAAATATGAAATAAACAAATATTTAATAATATTTTAAATTTAGTTATTTAAATTAATTACCTTCCATTTAAATTCACATAGACAATGCATACCTAGCATAGTAAAAATATTCCTAATGAGCTGGGTGCCTGTGGCTCATGCCTGTAATACTAGCTACTAAGGAGGCTGAGATCTAAGGATCGTGGTTCAAAGCCAGCCCAGGCAAGAAAGGCCATGAAACTCTTATCTTAATAAACCACCAGAAAACTGGAAGTGGTGCTGTGGCTCAAATGGTAGACTGCTAGCCTTGAGCTGAAGAGCTGAGGGACAGTGCTCAGGCCCAGAATTCATGCCCCATGACTGACCTCCTCCCCCCAAAAAAAACATTCTTAATGAATTCCTTCACAAAAACTAAATTATTGAGTTTTTAGCTAATTTACAAACTCCTAAAAAGTAGGCATTTCTTTTACTTTATATATTCTGTGCCTGATATACAGGAAACATTCAATAAATGTGTACTGCATGAATAGTAATGTGCCTCATGCTCTAGGCAATTCTTGAGGTAGATTTTAAGTTCTTAATTTTTAAATACCTTGAAGTATCCCTTCTTGGGTAATCTAAGTTCTCATTTTTTATATGACTTGTAATATTTGGAGATTTTTTTCTTCTTTCTTGGGCAATCATTTAACTTTAAAAAAAGGCAATGCCTGCTTCTCTAGTATGTTGTTTTTGTCTGTGTTTAAATCATACTTTTAAGGATTTTTTTTTATTTTTGAGGGAATGGGGGGGGGGTCAGTCATGGGGCTTGAACTCTGGGCACTGTCCCTCAGCTCTTCAGCTCGAAGCTAGTGCTCTACCACTTGAGTCACAGTGCCACTTCTGGTTTTCTGGTGGTTTATTGGAGGTAAGAATCTCAAGGACTTTCCTGCCAGGTTGGCTTTGAACCATGATCCTCAGATCTCAGCCTCCTTAGTAGCTAGGATTACAGGTGTGAGCTGCCGGCACCTGGCAGTATATTTTTTTTAAACCCATATTGATCCTGGTCTTCAACCAATATATATATATATATATATATATATATATATATATAT